AAACCCACTTGCCCAGATCCGCCCAACATTAGTGCAAGGCTCTTCATTATCGTTTCGAGTGAGCAATACAAGTTGGGGGCGTGTCGTTTGCGCGGAATAGGGTGCGAATGCGGGAGAGATCAAAAGCTCCCCAGTCGTTCGCTTGGCAAGTGAGGTATCTCTCTACCGGAAACGGAAGCTGTCAATTGCTCATTCCACGATGTCGCTTCTGTTGACACTGCGTCCCTCTGCACTTGTTGCAGTCTTGGGACAACTCGGGAATCGCTCGCTCCCTCGCGACCTCCCAGCGACACCCCGTCCAGGGAGACGACGGATCAGCTGGAAGGATGAAAGCAAGACATGCGATGGAATTCTGCATAAAGCATCGATCTGCGAACGAATGTGCGTGGACGCTGTGAAGTTCTGGTGGCAGCCCTTTTCATCACACTCCCGATGTTTTTTCTCCGTCCGAAACGGTAGCGGCCTCACTCGCTGCCGTGTTTTTCGGCGGTCGTGTTCTTCTGTCGCCGTCGTTCTTTTCGGGCTTCTGTTTCTCCGGCAATGTCTGCGATTTGCGGATCTGTGAAAGCTGGAGCACGAGTGCCGATGCCCTGTAATTTGGCTCGGCGTAAATGATACGGCTGCCAAACCGCAGCCTGTTTTGCACTGAAACCGCTCAATTGACGAACGACGCGGTCTGGGAAGATCGAGACTCTCGTCTTCATTACAGACGATGCCGGGCTTCCGCCGAACATCGAGTTGAGGCTCAGAGTCGGCGGCACTCCGAGCGAAGGCGAGCTGGGAAGAGAATTCCGAGAGGAAAAGCGCTCGATCTCAAAATCTGCCACCGACGATGATAGTGTCCGATCGGAGCCGTGGAAATAGCGCCCCTTATATTCCTGGTCTCCCTCTGTAGGAAACGTGCGAGACAAGAATATACCGACAACAGGAGAGAATGACGATTCCATTCCTCTGGGAACCAGCCCGCCTTATCGCGCGATCATCGAGACTGGTGGCACTCGCTGCCATCGCTGCGAGAATGAGCTGTCAACGACTTCAGCGCGGAAGGTCTCTTCAACTCCGAGCTTGCGAGTTGGTTTCCTCCATCCGATCCCCGTCTCTCACTCCGGCGACCTGGGCGCGCGGCTGACCGGTCGGTCGGTCGAGAAGCCCGCACGCTCTGAAGTGAAGTCATCAATGCAAATCAAGTTCTAATTTATCGCCTGCCTCCGCAACCCCCTCCGCATCGTTTCGGAGTTCCCGGCGTCAGAGTCGCAACTCGACGACTTCCTCCCCGATCGTCTTTGAGTTTCATTCGTTCGTTCATTTATATACCCAACTGATCGGGCCGCTTCTTCAAACGTCCATTTATTTCGACCAGAGAGCGAGCGAGCTGATTTCATGGCTTCCCCCTCCACGAAGTCGTTCCCCTCCGGTCTTCTGTTTTCCTCTATAAAGAAAGTCTCAGGCCCCTAATTTCGCATGGACAGTGTTCGAGAGTCTCTCTCTCTCAGTCAGAGTCGAAGAAAACTCAATAATTCCGGGAATTCGTTGCTAAGAACGTGCGGGCTGCGATTGACGCGAATAGAGTTGAACGGGGGAGGGATAATCTCAGCTTCTGCGTAGAGCTTGTGGGATAAGTTCAGCAGTTCTTCTGCCGAGCAAGGCTTCCCTCATGTGTCCGAGCCTCTTGCAAGCTTCGGCTCTGGGCTTTGTTGGTACGACTTTGCTGACTTGCAGTGGAAGCAATCTTTAGGCTTCCACTCTGATGTTGTGGACTTGCTCTCGCATAGACACAACACTCTTTTGCTCGCTCACCCCCTCGCTCTGTACCCATGCGACTGGCATGAGGGTGTGAGGGAGTGAGTTTGGATTGTTGAACAGGGGTGATATGGGCAGGGGGTGTTAGACTGAGCGCCAGCTTCATTCAAATGCTAATTCACTAGACGCAGCAGTAGAAGCGGTCCTACATCTCACTCTCTACGGTTTCGTCCACTCCAAGCAGCAGACAAGCCATCGGAGCAGATACCAGTCCTGATATCTACCAGTCAGCTCCCCTATCGAGCACTGGATCGCAAGTCGCAACTAGTCGTAGACGTCCAGCCGTCTCTGTCGGATACTTTCGCGATAGAAGTGTTATACATCGATTCTTGCTCGGGGGCTCTTCCGGGATGACCAACCACGTAGACTCGCTCGAAAAACAGAAAAGCGTAGGGAGTACCGGGAAAACTCGCTCGATTACTCGGATTTATCTGTCGATGTCGAGAGCCGGCCGTATCGAGCTAACCCACTCGGAGCTCTCGGACCGTCGGAGCTTTGCCTCCCGCTCTGGGTCTCCACCGGTCCCAAGAGTCCAAACGGATCACCTCGTCAAAGCCGTACTGGTCTTAGACTGTCAGGCGGGGGCTAGTTCACAGAAATTCCAATTTTTTTAGCGCTACTTGACTACAAAACGAGCGACTGCGATAGCGCAGCAAAGCCCTTGATACGACCCCGCAGCCTGGTTTGCGTCGCAACAAGTACGAAGCTCGAGAGATTTGGTCTCAATGGCAGTGTTGATGGAGCATGGATCTCGTAGGTGCGAAGGCTCCCGGCTGACGATGTTCCGCAAGGAAAGCGTAACATTACGAGGTTAAAGGCGAGCGAGAACGACCGAGGCATCGAATAAACGAAACGAACCGACGAGAAGGGGTTGGATTGGCTCGTCGAGACGGAATAGAAGCGCTGATGGAGCTCCTCGGGTGAATTGTGATTGGAAAAAAGGTCGAAGCGGGCTAGAAAGCTCTCCGAATTACCGTTCGGTCACGCGACCATTCAAAGTAGAAGTCAGCCGGGGTAACGGAAGCAACGAGCAAAAAAAGGGGATAAGGACGAGAAAAAGGAGACAGCCGCCGCAATAGGGCCGGTGTAGGGAACTGTGTCAGGAGAAGACCTGCTACTTGGGAACGAGGGAGCGCATAAACGATGTCTTCGAGCGGGAAGCTTTTTCTCCTCCCCAACAGATGAGCCTGCTCTCTTGATGTGCCGGGTAATAGAGACGACGAGTCGAGTTCGTCAAGAGACTTCTCCTGACAGAGAGAAAAAGAAACGAAGGAGTGAACGATACTTCTATTCGATGCTCGAGAAATCGACGCGCGAGCGACTCTCCAGCAAAATCTCGATGCGGACGCGAAAGGGCGTCGAGGGTTCCCAGCTGCACGAGATCGTGTGAGGGAACTTCATTAAACTGTCTACCCCATGGTGTCGGAGTACATTCCCCCGAAAACTTGCGGAGCATCGAAAACTATCCGTCAAGTGTGCTGGGATGCAGAGAGCTGCTATCTTTTGAGGAAACGTCGAATTTCGTGCATCCCGAACACGGGAAAAACGTCGAGCCGATCGCGGCCGAATCGACCGCGAGCCGTGTGCGTTGCCAGTCGCAGCCGCGCCGCCCAGCCGCTTTTGTTTGGTGATTCCTCAAGGATCACGACCCTGCGAACGCGATCAAGGGATCCCGCTGTCATTCGAACAATGCTCCCTCTCCCTTGGATATCCGCTGCTCTTCCTCAAGAGCACTACGTTTTGTCATCCTCATTGACGTGTATCCATCTCCAGATCATTAGATCAGAATCATTCCCGCAGACTGAGTGCGCTCCGTGACCCCTGCGAGATCCTGCTGAAGAACAGGTTCTCCAACTCGTTCGCTAAGGTACTCGAGCCAAGACGTCAGGACTCGCAGCTCGAGATCTCGTTGCGGCCTTCAGTCGTACGGCTAGAGGGACCGCTCTCATTGTGCGAATCATTTTATTTCCATGAACACTGGCATAAACAGATCTCGGAAGGATCGGGAAGAAAATCATAAGAAATATTGGTATGGTAATTCATTGGTCGTCGACGTTCGATTGTTGCTCGTCTGGTCTCGACACATGATGCCGACCCTGCTGCTGCGATTGTGGCCCACGCAGGCGGGTAGAAGGCACGTGCGCGGGCACGCTGGCAGGTACGCTCGAATCGAGCCATCTCTGTATATATTTATCTGCGCGCGAGTTTCGCCAGAGACTTGCACGTGTGGATGCAAACTCAAGGAGAATGGTTGTTCGCAGTCAGCCAGCTAACTCCGTATGAAATACAGCTGCTCATCTAGGCTGCCCGAGCCGACGGACAAGGCTCGTTGCCTCTGCACACATCATTTAAGATGTGGGAGACAGGGTATGTCGGCTCGGGAGCCGAGCAACAGCACGAGCGCGCTTCTTGAGCACATGGCCATCATTTTCGAAACACCTTCTGTTATTGCTCCTTTCCAGCGACGGAATACGCGACAAATTGAACGAGCAGAGCGAGAAACTCAGACCGGGGGATCTGTTGCGCACCAATCGGAATTACCCGCGGAATGAGCGGGACGGAGTTCCGAGAAGGGTCCCTCTTCGGCGAGCTATGTCTAGATTCCTAATTGACTGGTCGCCATCGATTTTTCCGGAACTCCGTTGCAGTTCGAGGCGTTCCGAAGACTAGCCGGTTGGGAGAAGCTCCTTCCACCCAAGTCCATTTGCTTCATACTCGACCGTGGCTCTGATCTCTGCGAATCTTAGGCAACGATAGAACATCCAGGATAAGAGAAACAACAGCACCCTCTTGTAGCCGGTTTCGTGCTCTGATGGGGGGAGAAGAGATAGCTCGCCTGGATGTGCAATATTCACACGACCACAAGTTTGAGCGGAAAAGAGGAGACTCGCTAACATACCAGCGGCAAATAGTAGCAAGACAACACGCATTGGTAAAAAATGCATGACTTTTTGCAAGCAAACGTCTCTGAGCCAAAAGTTCCACAACGCTATACATTGTATGCCGAAGCAAGACGTCACCGAGTGGCGATAAACACTGGGCTCAACATGGAACCGGCATGAGATCGGTGTCCGTGAATTTTTGTCCATTGCGGCTCTCGAATTTTCTCGCGGAAATTCTGAGTTTCCCTGCCATGGGCGGAATAGCAGTACCAACGCCTCGAGGAGTCGTGACTTAACGGAGGTGCATCTCATTTCCAGGCAACCCAAACTACGGTTTGTTCTGCGCCGCCGGAGCGAATCCCTTGACCCCCCTGGATAGCAGTGAGTAAATCAAAATCAAATCAAAATTCTTCATCGAACCCCTCAGAGTTTTCTTTTTTCCAATCGATTGACGTGGGAACCGCTATTCTTGACGGGATTCCGACGAATATTATCATAAGTACCTGAAGGAAATCACTTATCGAGGAGCCGACGCGACGTGGCTCGGATGGTTCCGAGGAGAGAGCGCCTCGAATCTCGACGTCGAAACCTCCCTTTTGGAACGTGAACGGGTCGCTCGCTCGCTGGCCGGCCGTCCGACCGGCTAGCTGACCAGCCTAGCGAACACATGGTCCGTTAGCGGACTTTTGTTCAAATGAAACGGCTATCCTGACCGTCCTGGATTCAGCCGCAGGGCTACAGTCAATCGATCAGGGTAATGGACTCAACGTGTGTGGCATACACCCTCCCTACAAGAAGACATCCAAAGAATCTCGGCTCGCATCTGCGGTCTCTCAAAGCCTCCGAGCGAGCGCGTCCCTCTGCCGCAATGCAGCCAAAGCGGACGGGCAGGGAGCGATCTCCACCTTTCCCGGGTCCAGAGGAAGACTGAATCTATTTTGGGACTCGTCTTTCGGTTTTGCCGGGGAAATCCCTCAACAGGAGTTCCTTTACTCGGGTATTCGAGGATCCATGTCGTCCCTCAGCCCAGTCCCTCAGTCAGTCGAATCGGGCTGGTTCTTGATCACAAATAGAAAATATATTTTTTCTCGACTCCTTGCAGTGATGTCCGCATCTCCCGGAGACCATTCGCTCGAGCTGGACGAAACGCAAGACAGCCAATCCGAGCTCCTCTTGGAGAGAGAACGGAGAGAAGATTCGGTGGAACGGGATCTCCTCGCTCTGGGCTCTCAGAGTCCGCAGCCGCAACTCACGCAGCTTCCCGCAACCGCGAGTCAGAACATGCAGATGACAGAGCTGCCTGGTTTGAAACGGCCCGATTCCGGGGGCAGCGGTCCCGAATCCGGCCAAGCCAACGCCCCTGACGACGGTAGCGGAGGCCAGAAACGTCGCGGACCTCGGACCACAATCAAGGCGAAGCAACTGGAAACTCTCAAAGCCGCTTTCGCGGCGACCCCAAAGCCCACACGCCACATTCGGGAACAGCTCGCCCAGGAGACCGGACTCAACATGCGCGTCATACAGGTGAGTTAGGCTCGGCGAAAAAAACGAGTTAGTCGGATGAATATTTCCATGAACGATCATATTTACGTCAGGGACGATATCCATAAATCAGAGGGCGGCTCCTATTTTTTTTCGGAAAATGCGCGAACTTCATATGCGTTCGTGCGCTCGAGTGGGTGCACGCTCGTGCGCCGTAGTGAATACGTGCCCGGGATATTCGCTCGGAGTTCGATGCATAAAGCTGCATTATGTGTCGCTGGGCAATCCCGAAGACGGACGACCTCTTGAGGGCAGCCTGCACCGCCGTTGTTGCCCGCACGTTATGTTATCCTGGGACGTGGCAGCACGTCTGTTCATCCATCGTCTCGGCGGACGGACAGGCGGGCGGGTGGGCTTTCAGGCAGGCAGGCAAGCTGTGCGAGGGAGAGAGGAGAAACAGGAGATTGAGTGTACGATAGGGAAGAGACAACCTCGAGCATAGTCAGCCGCCACGATCTGCGGAGACTCTGACAAAACTTCGCAAATCCCTCTTTCTCTCTGCTCGAACAAACTTTTGACTTCGATCAATAGAGACTCTATGGAAAGCTGCCCGAGTGCCGCCGCTGCGTTGCTTCTTGGGAGGATGGTCGGTCGCTGGGTCGCCCGCTCCCTTCGATGGGATATAACGCGGCTTAAGGGGTATCTGTGCGACACGATGACGAGGCGACTACAAGGGTGTCGACAGCCCCGCAAAGTTGCAGTCGCAGTATTCTTCATTATTGTCGTTGACGTCGTCGGCGGCACCGCGCCGTTCCGTGACTTATTCGGTGCGAGCTGGCTAGGATCGAGCAAAGAGAGGAACGATCACCTGCGAGCGCATGGAATTCCGTAGCGGATGCGACGGCCATGATTCCTCATGCATCGATTCCATCGAGGAAAGCTACGCTCCTACGGGGCTGACTGAGAATTTTCAGGCAAGGGAATGGTGCCGATTCCCTCGCGGGGCCGTTTTTGTCTCGGCGGGAATTTCAGGTCAATCACCGATTGACAGGGGGAAGACGCTCCTGATCAAAATACTAGCGGTCAAGCACAAGAGGATGGGAAACGTATTTTTTCTCGCTTTCCACCGGCCCATTCCGATCGTTGCGATGCACAAGGAAGGCGGCGGGATCCAATTCGACGGTGAAAATTCGATCGGAGCGTCGAAATCAAGCCACAAGAGCACCTTTGGCTTCGCAGAGGAAATCCTCCGCGGTCGCTTTGGTCGCGTCCGGCCGCTTGTCTGCTTCGGATCCAATCGTAGTCCGGTGGTTTGCGGCTGAGTGGCGAGTGTGTCCGTCTGTTGGTATCATTACGTTGAGCGGTCAAGCGTAAATGTCGACATCTCTTTCACGCAATTGATTCGACAGACCGCGGAAAATTCGGCCAGAACTGACCCGAGCCAACATCGAAGATTGAGATTTCTTCGGACGGAATGCAGAAACTCGGATTTCACTTCAGTCTACCACCAGCTTCGCCTCGAGCGAACTTCGTGCCCTGCGCGAACTTCAATCCGAGGCAGAGAAAAAATTTCCGCGACGAGGAATCTTAGATGAGCGTCATAAATGACCTGCCAAAAGAAGAAATCGTCGAAGTGCGCAATCCGAGTGGAACTATTGGTCGCGAATTCCGAGACGGATCAAGAGAAAAAAAAATGATTGAGATGCTCCACATCGTTCGCATGCGTATCGGACGAATCGCTCAATGTATGAATAATGATGATCAGCCCACACTGGGACATCATGAATATTCAAGCGTGTATCATCGAATGAACATAGAGCCGAATAAGTAGGTATACGAATAGATGAACCGCAGATCTCTCGCAAGTGCTAGGCTGTTCGTCTGCCCGACCGACCGCCTGCTTGACGTTCGGTCGTCGGCTCGTCATTATACTGCTAGTCGACATCATTAGTTTCGAGCAGCAAAGACGCAGTCAAGCGAGTATTCGGCGAAGGACATCGTTCACAACTCACTCGTGTCATTTGTTTGTTTATTATGTTCTTTGCAACCAGTGATATTCATTTGAGTGTTTTCGATTTTACCGTCAGTCAGGCAGTCCGCCGTCCGCGCCGTGGCCGTCGCCGACGTTCTACTCACGTCGCATGTCATGCTGAGAAAGAATCACTAGCAGCGACCGAAGAGCGGCTCACAAAGCGATTCGTCAAAATCGGTTGTACATTGCTCTTATTTACGATCCTCGTAATGATTCGAAAAATATGTTATTTGCCTTAAAAGTGGAGTTGTATGCGGAAAACGCGCGGACCGACGAATGGCGTGGATCGGGTGGGTCCGGTCGGACGTCGACCGGAGTCGTTCTTGTCCGACGGCGATCCGATCCGCCATCATATACCTAGGTACATATGCCCATGCAAGCGGTCATCCGCGTGTGGGGACAAATCCATGAAGCTAGCTACCTACAAGCTAATGTCGATCGCGGCGAGATTTCGTAGAAGTTCTCGGAGTGGAGTCGGCGGCCGCGCTCAGGCCTCCCGCGTGTCTCTTCTTTCTCTCTCGCCGTGTGTCTGTTTTGTGATCGAGCGAGTTGAAGTCTTTCGGCCATTCTCCAACAAATCTGCGGCAAATCTGCGCCGAACACAAACATGCGACCGCCATTGTCCGATGGCCGCCTTCGTGCTCCATGCAATGTACATACATACGTGGACAGGGAACCGATTAACACCCTCGAGCACCTTGAGTACACACACGGCACTTCACTCCGCTTGTCAAAAAGCGCCAAACTCAGCGGGATATCGAAACGCTTCAGCTAATTCTGAGAGATTTCCCCTCGATCGCCTGTAATCGTGTCCGACGATTGGCGCTACCGGTCCGACTGTCACTGGTTGGCTGGGGGGATCGATAGACTCACTGACTGACTGACTGACTGAGCCCTCAAAGTGATCCGGGTCGAAAGCTCTCGACGAATCAAGCTGGATGACTCGAGACAACGAGTGTCTTCTGGCCTAGATACTCGTGATCGGAGAGAAAAACCACTCGGATGATGCGATTCTTCATTTCAGCTTATTTGAAGGGATGAGATCAATCAACAGATTTTCGAGGGCTTGTTGACTCGAAGAAAGCGCGCATACGGCGACTTCTTGAATTCGTTCATGCTTGACTTATGTCCACTCTTCCTACGAGGACCACCGAGACTTCAGAATCCGCTCGCTGCCAAAAGATGAGAACGGGACTCGGTGTTCCTGCTCTCGCCGACATGAAACCAAGATGTCGGTCATGTTGTCGGTGAGGTTTTGTAGTGCAGCGTGTTTTGTTCGGGCATCAGACCTTGTCGAGACCTTCGTCTTCAAACCCCACGGGAAAGCTGCCGACAGAGCTGAAGGCTCCAAGAGCTTTGTCGAAGTCCAACGAACTTATTTGAGAGGGTGATAATTTCGGCAAATTCTCTCCGGGCGACTCAAAATCTCGATGCGTACTTGTTTCCGATTTTCTCGATCGCTCAGACGTGGAGCTCACTTCGCAAGTTACACACTTATTCTACGAGCGATGTAGCATCCCGAGCTCAGGAATGAAGTTGATCGATGTCTTTCGAACAGGTGGCGCAATCCCCAGCGGCCATGGCGGTGGGCCGCACTCGAAACGCCAGGTTCTCAGCTCTCAATTTGACCACGACAAGAATCTTTCGAATCGCACACGGACGATCCAATTGACATCGGAATCCATTTGTTCGGGATAAGGACCTCTCTATTCTGATTTTCATCAGGGTTTCCGATTTTCACCTTCAGTAATGAGCGCCAAAAACTCCATTCAAAACTTTTTGGGCTATTTCGCTTTTTCCGAATGTATCGAACTTCAACACGATTATCGAGGGAGGGGAGTACCGCATTCCAAAACGGTATGGAAATGGCGGGCGGAATACTCCCCGAGGCAGCTGGAGCGATGAAAAATGCGGAGCTGCCCTCCCGTTCTCCTTTGTCTGATAGATAGGAAAATCGGACACGGCCAGTTAGGGCCGGCAGCAGCAGCGGAAGGGGAAAAGGGAAGCGTGCGAGCGGCTCTAAATAAATCGGAGGCACGTGTATGTATTCTCTGTTGTGCGAGCGAGCGGGTCCCTGTGGGCTCTTCTTACCCCCTGTGTCGTGCAATTGGGTCTGCACCACATTTCGTTCTCCCCGTCTTCAAATATCGGGCAAGGCAGGTCGAGCTGTTGCTCCTGAACGGAGATAGCCACTACGGGAAAGAGAGAGAGAAATGAGAAATGAACTGTGAGCGATAGAGACCAAACTCAAAAACCACCAAGCCAAGAAGAAGGGAGGAAAAAGGAAGCGAAGGACATTCGAGGGTAATCGCCGAACGATGCTTACTCGCTTGAGCTCGAGATTGCTCCTTCACATCGGTGGATTCTGATCTGATCCCTGAACTCGCTTGTGAATGGGAATCCTGATCAGGACCGATGGAGTTCATCTGATTCCGGAGCAGTCGAATATAAATCAGATTCCTTCGATTTCGTGCATGGGAAGCACGGAAAAGAATTCTAGTACCGATCGAGTGCAGATTTTGCTATCCATGCTACTCCCCCTCCGAAACACCATCTCAACCCCTCCGTGAGACCGTTGAAACCCTACGCGGCCCACGAGCTCCCCAGAAGATACCTTACGGCGTTCCTCGCGGTGCCCCCGACCCGCGGAACGCTTCGACGACAAAGTCCGCTGCAGGGCGCTACTGGCGTTGGATCCACGTCCAATGGGAGGAAGCTCCGCCCGCGAACCCAGGGCAATGCCGTCGCTTCACGGAATATGGCTTCGCTGTTGTTGAACTGCGAGCAGGCAACCCTACGGCGAGACGAGCGAGCAAGTGTACGAGGCGACGAAGGGGAATAACATGAGTTTTTCCCACGACGGCGCTATTCCCCAGCAGAACTTGCACGCCGAAAAGCTGCTCCTACGACCCAAGGCTCGGAGTGAGAAAAAGGGAGAAGACGGCGGCGCAGCGGCGGTGGCGTTCAAGCGAAGTCTCTCACTCTCGCGTCGAGTCGTTCCCGAGTCCATCAATCATCGACGTCCGAGCGGGGTTTCGTTAAGCCATCAATCGAGTACCAATCGATCGGGCACCGAGCCACTAGCCATCAATTGAGTGAGCTATCGCTCAATCGGGCAGTAATCGATCGAAGAAGCTTGGCATGTTATTTCTCATCTCGATTTTCCATCAATTCACCGGCGGGCGGAGCGCTGCTCCTGTGAACGTTCGCAAACTCGTTCTTTTGCTCTCGATCGAGCCGTCAGCAGCGTCCGGCATAGAATATTCTCCCGGAAGGCTGAATGGACAAATTTCACGGAAAGATCGCCAGCAGCGCTGCATCCGCACCGAGCGATCGTTCGACCATTCTCGATAGGTTTTCCGATACCGTGATGGGTCGTGAGACCGTCGCCAGCACATCGCATTCCTTAGTTCATCATTTCCTCATCGTCTCCTTCATACAGATGTTTCTGTCCGTCGTGAACTCGGTGTCAAATGCCGCGTGTAATTGAGGTTTAGGTCCCTGAAAGGTTTTGTGGACGACCGAGGGGACAAGATTGCTTGACAGCTCAAATCGAATAAGGAGCGACTTTCGGGGGACGAGAAGCAAGGCAAGCGGACAGCAAGCGAGCAAGCAAGCGGACGGGCGGGAGGGTGAGTGGGTGAGCGAGCGAGCGAGCGACCGCTAACAAAGTGGATCTTCTCGTAAATAGGTGTCATTCATTCGTGTGTTTACTGAGCTCGTACTGAGCCCTCGCTGCGGCGGCGGAGCAAGTAGTACCCACAAGCTGTTCGGCCCATCGTTCTCGACGATTTGCATGCAGCGAGCACAAACGAACACTGACAAACGCTGTTGCTGCTGCCACGACCAAACTCACAGCATGAGCTCTCGAAACCGAACAGCTACCAGCTTCCGAATCGCTGGTCGGACGCGGGACAGACAGACACGCGGTCGGATGGACGGACGGATGGGCCGGCAGACATTGAATGTCTAGCGGAAGAACGCTTAGCTTAATTTAGGTGTCTGCTACCTGAGGAAAGTTTGCCGAATCGATCCAAAAATTGAAGAGGGCGGGCAAGACGTGTGACTATTCCGTCAACCGCGGTTTGCGTTCGCGATTCGATAGAGACCCCGTGGAGAAGAGTCAACTCTGGCCATGGGAATTATTCCAGAACAAAAAAAACGGTGGTTGACGGGATCTCGCGTCCAGAAATAAATTATGTGGGGCTAGGGAGGCTGGCTCGAGCGCCTCGGTGAATCTGGCGCAGAGACTCGTCGCAGTCGATCTGGATCGAGCCGTTCTAGACATAAAAGTGAAGTATAAAAAAAATATGCTCCGTATAAAGTTTTCCGCGGATTGGGCGATATCAGGTTCGACGCTGCAGTTTATAGTCAGCTAGTCGCCGAGTCCGCGAGCAGCCTGTTGGTCGAGTCCGTCCGGCTCGCCAAGCGGTTCGCTCTATAAAGATTATACGACGGACGGTCGCGCTCCGCCGTTGATAATCACGGCGGCCTCGTAGGAAAGCTCCCCGGCGAAGCACCAAAAATCAACCAGTTGGCAAACGACTAGGGAGTGATGCAAACCGAAAATGAGGAGTTTGATCGTGCTGCTGCGGAGTCCAGACGGATTGTTCGAGCGGAATATTACGGCATGGATGTTTTTGCTGCGGTCGGGGCTATGCTGCCGCCACCGGTGTTCCTGCTACTCGCGCCGAGATTTGTGGATTGCGGAGGAGCTCCTTGCGGCTGGGTCTTGCGGGTGAATCACAGACTCAGTCAGTCAGCTCAGGAAGCTAGCTGCTCTATGGGGCCCAAGAGACCTGGTCTTGTGGGAGTCCTCAACTCTTGGCCAAGAACAGCTAACCCTTCGAGGTTTTGCTTTTATGTTACCCAGCTCGTATACTATGGTGGTGGCGGCGGCGGCGGCAACTTCCCCCCCGACAATCCCCTCCCCTACTTCCCCTTCACCGTCTGACTGCCTGGCTGGTTCGTCGACTTCACCCTGTTGGGCAAGACAAGAAGAGTTCCTATTTCGAACAGTAGCGCTCGCGATAACCCGTTCGCTCCGATAGACTGAGAATCCGCGTTTATTTTCAGGTCTGGTTCCAAAATCGACGTTCGAAAGAGCGGAGGATGAAACAGCTCACGACGCTTGGAGCTCGGAGACATTTCTTTCGAAGCCCGCGCCGGGTCATGAGGTCCATGAGGCCCGGGATGAGCCCCGACCCTCTGGATGATTCGCCGCCGGATCTCTTAGGTCAAGGAGGGGGTCCGAATGGACCCCAGAACGGATTCGGCTACTTTTCCGGTGAGTACATAACCTTTCCAGATATGCAGGAAAAACACTCGATTAAGGCTGCGGCGATATGTCGCGAAGTCTGGCTGCCTGAATGAGTTTGGCCTTCGCCTCGTGTCTCACTCAGTCAAGTCGGAGGATCGATCAGAGAGAGAGAGGGATCAGATTGATGAGTGCATATTTCGAGACAAGCGAAAGCAGGAACTCGAACATACTGCCTTCAGCCATTAAGTATATGAGTAAGGAGAGCCGTCGGAACTCACTTTTGCGAGACGATCGCTGCTCATCTGGACTTGAGTAGATGAAGTGTCTCAGGAGTTAATTAAAAAAAGGAAAAGAGCTGAAGTGAAATGGCTTTGGGGCACCCGCTCCGAAGCCACGAATGCGACGACAACGGCGGCAGCAGCAGCAGCAGCAACAACAACGCCGACAGCGTCGACGCCGAAGAAGAGGCGAGTCAGAAAATGGACTTGAAGGCAATGCCCGCCAGTAATCGGTTCAAGACCCCTCCCAGCCATCCGAGCAACCAACCTCTGAAGTGATTGCAGGAGAAAAAGAAGAAGTAGACGAACATCGTCTTCGGCATAATTTCAAGAAGTAGCATCGCGAACACTTGGCCATTTGGACGCTCAAGCAACATGCCAACGACGAGACATTGGTCGAGTTTCGAATTCGATTCTCGAACCGACGTCGTTGATGAAATATGGTTCTAGAGTGGTACTTCCCGATTTTTCGATATGATCTCTCGGGAGCGAGGTCCGTTGAGTCATTCGAAGCGTGCCCTGGCGTCTCAAACGGGGAAACATCATTTCTCATCTCCGATATACTAGAGAGGGATGACGCGCGATCAGGCATGCCAGGAGATCTCGTGCGGAAGGTGCGGATATCGAAGATTCTTATGTATGAAGTAAGCTATATCGAAGATTCTTATGTATGAAGTAAGCTTGGTTCTAAGGGGATTAATCCTGTTCCGGGATTCCAATTATCAAATCCAAGTGAGGAAAGCGAGAGTCGCTTCGAAAGTGCCTTGGATGTGCTCTTGGCATTGTCGGACGTCCGAGTTTTTCCTCCGATTCCGACGAGCACTCCGCCGAGCCGTTTGTCCGAATGCATTGTATAATATAATACATAATCTCAGTGTGTGATCGTTTGCCAATGCGCGAATTCTGAATGGACCGGTCCCGTGTCCGACTAACGATAACAAAGTTATCTAACTCAGTGACAGATGTGGCTGGCGCCCTTGTCAATGGCAGTTACATGGCGAGCGACGAGCGAGTCCTTGTCGACGAATCGTTGTCAAGCTCTAGAACTCCGGAGGAACAATTCGATGCTCTCCACCAATAGCACGGTATTTGCACGTAACCTCGCGTTCTTGTAATGCTGAATGTTTCGCCAACGTGACTAGCCCTACCCAGACGGATACGCGACGCTTACGGAACGAATTGTTGGGAATCTCCCCGCGCGGAACCCTGGAGACGAGGCAAGGAATCAACAGAGAAAAGGAACAGGGCAGTAAGAGAGGGAGAGGGTATAGAATGAGGATTCAGAGGGGGGGGGGCAGATCCGGAATGGGGCGGCTGCATATGACGGCGGGCGAACGCGCTCAAAAATCAAATCACGAGATTCGTTTTGTGAGTTGGGGATGTTTTCTCCTGGTAGAGCGCAATCGCGGAAAGTCAACAATCTTCACGCCTTGGGCGGTTTTCCCTTCGGTTGGCTGGTTGGTTGTCCGCGCGTATGCGCTCCCTATACACCAACGCGGGTGGTTTGTTAGGTTGCTTACTTGTTCGCCGGAGACCGCGAGGGTACGCACGCGGGAAGATAGCAACAAAAAGAATCATCTCTTGCGAGGAAGTTGCGGAAATGAGTCGCTCCGCACGAAACCTTATTTGCACGCCATCTCTTCTGCAAAGTTCATTCAAATGTCTCCCATGGCGCTTTCATCTGACATCGAGGCGATGGCTCTCTACTACGATTGTGTTCGCCGGGGCTGGTTGTGCTTAGCTTTAGATAGTAGTACAATACATGTATGCAAGCAGGAAGGTTATTGAGTCGCACCGCTACTGGAACTTGCGAAGAATCATCATCAGCTCGCATGCTTTCACGGGACATGCAATCGGACGCTGGCCTCTGTGGCATCGGTCCGAGGGAATACCGCGATCGGAAGAATATCCCCCGGTCGCCGCGGAATCCCGATAAACTTGGTCGCTTGCCAAATTATTTCTCAGAATCTGAGGCGAAGGAACGAGGGCTCGAGACTCGCAACGGAAAAAGGATCTCATTGCGGAACGTATCCTGTGAGTCGAAGCATGATGCCTTCTGATCACCGAAACCTTGTGTGTCCTGTTGGGCCACGCCTTGCGTTAGTCGGAGTGGCCGCCGCGGCGGATTCACCCGCTTCGGTAGTCCACGGCGTTTCCGTGAACCATCTGCTCAATGCGGTCGAGTCAAGAGTTGTCTTCTCATTTATCATGAGGGGGCAGAGTGGCTGATCCGAGGTGAGGCAGTCGAGTCGGAGGGAGCCGATGTCTGTCTGCGCATCCATTTTTTTCGGTTCGTCCGTCCAGTCAGCCAGCCAGCCACCGTTTGACGAGCGGTTGGATTTCGGAGAAAATACCCCGCAGTAAATTTCAAGCTGGTGATCCGAGATTCCTCTCTTGTACTAGCTTGGTGTCGTTTGCGTTTATCCATGGGATGACCCAATTTTGATAGTCCGACAAATGACAAAAACTAGAGGACGGGTGCTATTCGAATAACAATACCGGAGCGCAACGGGACAGCTGCAGCGGTCGATGAGGTGCCCATTTTTTCCCTTTTTCCCGATGCTCCCAATAGTCGAAACGAACTCCGGGACCGCCTGAATGTTTGCCTTGTAGCGTGTAGGTGCGACAGCGAGGTGTGACACGGAGAAATCACAGAGCACAAGGGAAATAGAGCGAGAGAACACGCAGCGGAGTGATTCTGAGGCACAGATTCGGTACGGATCAAAATTACTACTTTCGGGCGCCGCCACCGTCAACCAACATATGATTGTCTCCGGATGCGGTGCACATTTTATAAACACCGTTTTTACGTCTGGGCGTCCGCGTGGAGCGACTTGGTCACTCAGTCAGTCATGCGTCAAGGTTTCACGATCTCATTCAAAACAGCTTTCGGAGCTTTTGTGAAGCCATACATTCAACCTTCCCCGTCGAGATTCTCCGCTTGAATACACGGAGGAGAGATGGAGTTTCCCGCGCGTCCCGGTCGCCTCGATCGTCGAGTGAGCCCCGTATACAAGCATAAGCCTTTCTGGGGATTTCATCGATTGGGACGACGATGAGCGGGACGCGGCTGAAAGAGACCGAGGCCTCACAGCGCCAGAAATCTGATGGAAATTCATTAGATAAGGAAAATTCCAGGCACCGCGATCGATGATACGTCACGCTGCTGTATTTTCGATTATGCTCGGAGTCCGCCCTCCTGTTGTCCTCCGAGTCGGAAGTCTTGTTGAAGACGATCACGTGACCTGACCGACCGGCCGGCTGGCAGGCTGTCAGTGCGTATGTCGGCCGTCGATCGGCAGCACGGTGTCTGTCAGAGGCAGTCTTCCTTTTGAGATAGATCATATTCCTCCATCTGAAGAACGAGCTAGGAAGACGGTCGAACAGACCGACGGACGGACAGCAAGCCTGCCTGTCCTCCGACCGTCCAGGAGGAGCTTGTAAGAATGAATGGATGGATTGGTGGGAAGAAAAAAGCGAACGACGATTGCTGACGTCTTTCCAGCTGAACTTGTGGAACGTCCTGAATCTCGGTACCGATTCGTCGCCTCGTTGCTGCTTTCCCGCGAGCCTTCGGCGCACATCGATTGTCGGATGGTGCCCATCTCTCGTCCCTAGCAAGCCTATTCCCGTAGCGAGCGAGATTGCAATGTCCAGCTCGGTATGTTTTGTCTTCACCGAAGAAAAAACAGAAACCGAACCATCTTCTCACAATGACGTTCGTCCAAATGGACTCCTCACTACGCGACAGCCCCGGGAGCTGCTTGTCAAGTTGCAGCTGGTCGTGGTGACGGTGGTATCGGTGGTGTTTCTGCTGCTGCTGCTTCGGCTGCTACCACCACCGTCGCCGCAGTCTTCCGAAATGAGAAAAGAAGAGAAGCAACCCCCATGTGACATAGGAGCGCGAGGCAATTACAGAGCTCGCCCCGCTATCGGCTCACCAGAGCGTATACAGACAGGCGGGTGGGCAGGCAGGAAAAGAGCCCTCCGTCTAGTCGCTTTTCGGGTTGCTGCAAAGCAGCCAAGCAAACTCAGGCACCTAGAGGAGACTCAATGGACGGACGAACGGGCAGACGAACCGATGGACGAGTCGACAGACCAAACGACTGATAGACTCGTCCTCATCCACGGATTAAGTCGCCGTTTCTTTGCGTGTCTCTAGTCCTGAGTCCGATCCGAGGGATCGGCGACCTCGGACAGCCTGCTGTCATTTCTATTGCGTATCGGTGCGATATGAGACGAAGCTCTCCCGTTAACGTGGACAAGTGACAACCGTCATGTTCCCGGGACATCGACAAAGTTTCCCGAAATTCCCGGGGTCAGAGTTCCATTGAGAACGTCCCTCCCGGAGCGTTTCCCCCACGTCTTGTATGCAAAACCGACGCTGGTTTGCTTGACCAGTTTCTCGCGCGACGGGATGGACTGTGTATTCTCTGAAATGCAAAGGAACCCGCGCGTCGGTCTATAGTCATCGGGAGGAACGATTCGGGGCGACCGACGCTCCGAGAGCCAAAGTGGGGAACGGGGGGGGGCTGTAGATCGCGGTGGCGAACAATTAAAAAGGAGGCTTTTGACACGTTGCTCTGTTCACAACATTGGGCGGCTCTGTGCGCTTGACAGGATTGAAGAAGTCTGTCTGTTCCTTTCTTGTTCCTCCCTTGCTCCCGTCCGGGTTCTCCCCTCTTCGCGAGGCAGCGGATCGAGTGCTCTGAGGAAACCCCCCCCCCGCTCCGAAAGCATCTATATATTCACTACAACCGGTACCGCAGGACTTGCTTCGTCCGTCGTGATGTCGATGTTTTCATTGTTTTCATCCTCTGATGGATTCTCTTTGCGAGAGAATAAATGGATGGAGGAACAAACATTCGTTCGTGTACAGTATAATGTGTCCGAGATGGACGAATTTCTTCTGCGAGAGGCAGAGGAACTCTTCTGAGATAAAGTATGTATACCTGTGCGCGATCGCCGGTCTTGCTACAAATCTAGCGGAATTTCGTGCTCCGACGATCAGAGCTACCTGCTCACCCAATCGAGATACTCGACTTCTCCGCGGCTAGGAGGCGAATCGAGTGACATGGGTTGTTTCGGTGAGGTGATGCATCGCCATGTATTTCATGCGGAACCCTTCTCTCCTTTGCAGATTCCTCGAACCAAGAATTCGGCTACTCACAGAACGGAGGTCAGGGCCCCGGCTTCTACGACTTTTTCCCCGGTCAGCAGAACGAAGGCATAGCTTTCGGACATGCCGCGAATCCCAGTCTCTCGCCAAGAAATGGTAAGCTTTAGAATTTCCCTTCCCGAAAAATGAGGAGCCCTCATCTAATCAGAGACGGATTGCTGAGCAGGAACTCGTGCTTTACAGGTGTGAGCATGGGAACGGACACATTCCACTTACCCGGCCAACACGGTGATCTCCAACTCAATTCGCAGCCAAGGTCGAGCCCAGACTCTGTGTTGAGCCTCCAGGGTTCGGATCCCCCCTATGGACAGCCCCCACGGAGCGATTCTGGGGGGAGCTTTTCAACGCAAATGCCCAATGAAACGCCAGTTTGGTAGAAACTGCGAACCCCTCTAGCTCACTCTATCGGAAGAATGAGATCTCTGCTTGGCCAAACCATCGCGATTCGATCATTCCGTTTAAAGGAAAATCAGAAGATCAATGAGAGTCTCGGAGATTCATTCCTCCTGTAAAAACACTGTACACAGAACGCATACGATGAACGAAGCTGGTTCAGACAATTGTTCTGGAACGAGTGAGATCCGAACAGAGCGGATACAATGGGGAAAACTCAGGTCTGATTCAGAGTTGCATTCCATTCCGCACGTCCAAATCCTTATTTATCTCGATTTCCTACCTATGCCTTTTGCTCGGGAGCTGTCGGCAGTCCCGCGTACGGTCTTTGGTACCCGGAACTGATCAAGGAGCTGACGGGCGAGCGCGGGATTCAATCGACAATCAGGACGTCATCGACGCTCAGAATTCTCATCGCTTCTCAGAAATCCCTCCGAGTCCATCTGATCGAACGGAATGGTCTGCGCGACCGTGGGCTTGAGCTCCGGCGGAATCATTCGGCAGAAGCTCCACCGAGAAGTTCACCCATATCATTCTGGGGAAACGCCTGATCCCGGCCTTCTCCGCACCTAGCTGTTGAGTTTGCGAGAATCTCACCATTTCTGTTATCGTGTTGTAGTGAAGTTTCTGCGAGTAACATATCCTCATCATAACTCTTAGCAAACTATCAAACCTATGGCAAGAATCTTCGGAGAGAGGATTTTGAATAGACGAGCCATATTGAGGCTCGCGGAAGAGCCTTCTCGACCCGCCGGAGAGCTCAAAAGATGAAGGTTTCTTGAGTCCCGCTCTATGGGCCATGTTTCTCAGACGCACAAAGCACCTCAGTGAAGCTCCAAAGAATCACCGAAGGCACTGAATACAGCCTCTAAATAATCCAAGTCAATGCAATGTATATAATTCTCGAGCCACGTGGCCTCATTCCACGTGGTGGAGTCCGATCTCGAGAGTTTTAGAACTCAGAGATCCCATCGGAACTTCGGGAAATTCTCTGCCGACCGGAACCATTGGAGCTGAGCGATCAGCTGATCATCACTCGGGGGACTCGTAGGTACGTTCATAGGGACAAAAGTTTTCCGGCGAACAGTATAGCGAACAACGACCTGGTCCTCGGGTTTGTACGGATACAAATCGAATGAGCGAAACAAGCACAAGTTCGGATAGTGACTCGGCGAGCGTGCCGATTCCCGGCGGCTAGCGAGCGAGATCTGGAGTGGCAGGCTCTGATTTGTGTAGGGGATTATCGCGTATATTGTTTGCCAAGCATTGTAATCTCAGTGAGGCGATTAGGTCTCGGTGGGAAGCCGAGCTCGGGGATGGAACATTTTTCGACGGAGGCGCCAGACTTCAGAGCCGTAAAGGACGACACTTTCAAACGAAATAATCTCTCCTCACGCAAATGGTGTTACAGCGCCTAAACGCAACACGAATGAAGATTATGTGAAATTACGATGAGAATACAGTGATGAAGATGTCAGAAAGTAGCAAAGGTTAAATATGTCTCTGAACCGACTTGGATGATCCCAAAAGTGATGTGCAGAACTGTAAAAGAGAAATTGATCGGAGGAAAAGAATACCCTGGATTCGAATGAATTAATAAACCGCTGAGCACGTTAGCCGAAGTAAATAAAATATATCCTGAAAATTCTTCTTCTTCTTCGTCGCCGCCAAGCATGGCGTAGACCGAGTTAATGGATCATAGGTTCCACGTTCGACCATTGCTCGGTTGATGCAGAAATAATTTCCGACAGTGTCCTTCTGTTTTTTCAGTAGGTACTATGATCCAAGGTCAGAACGATCGTGCTCCTCCGATTAGGACATCAGTAGATGTTTGGAATCGTACACATGGCATTCCGAGCTGGACTTCGATCCGATGAGTGCAGCAAGTTCTCGAGGACATATCGGCAATGATTGCGGTTTGCGGTCTTTTTGCGGGCGACATGTGCTCGCAACGGTCCTCTGCTCGCCTCGATTGGGGAGCAACTATAAGATTATTTCCATAGGACTGTCACGATATCCGAAAACGGGATAATCTTGGAAAGAGATATGCGGAATGCATGGAGGTGTTTTACTCTCCCTAACCAAATCTGAGGGGATGGCTGGTGAGGGGCAGGGAGATTCCTTCTGCGGTTGATACGCAAGCGAGTCGGCGGTGATTGTGGATGTTCATCCGCTTAGTGCTCGTACGCATTACAGGTCATATTCTGGGGCCATAATTAGCTCAGCGTTATAAAATACGTGAAGATTGTTCTTATAACTGATGAAACACCGTAATAAGTTGGGAGGATATCAAATGTTCCGAGTCTGTGCGGCAAGAAATGCTTTCAATTCCATGATGAATGCGGATTACGTCACCGACTTACGCGTCTCATCAGCATCAGATGAGCTTTCTTAAAGCATTCAACAGATGATGTATTCAACAAGTGAGCCATACGTGATCCTCAGAAGAAGGTCTTCTCTCTTTGACGTCGTCGTCGGCAGGCCCGCCAGCCAGCCAGCCTTGATGATGAATAAATTGGTCTGCATTCGATACAATGCGCAACCTTGGAGACGAGGATGAAAGACAAAGCTTCCCGATTCGCTTCTCACAATAGATTTCATAATCGGCGCGCTCAGTTCACGATGAACCCGCATCGATACCGACCGGATAGGCATTTTTCCCTTTGACTATCGGAGCGGGAAAATAGGTAGAAATGCAAAACTCTGTTCTCGCAAGGGTCCAGCACTTTGGCCATCCTGCCGTTACCAGCCGAAAGCAACATAAATCAGTTCTGATATCATCCGTGAAATGAAATTCTCATCCGCCGAGCAGGAATACGGAGGTCCGTCTGTCTCCTGCCAGCCGGTCGAAGCGACCGTCTATTTCTCTGTCTGCCAAAGCGTCTGTCTGCCTCTCCGACTGGCTTCCCGATGGGTTGACCTGTGAAACTGTCTGTCTCTTGAATGGAACTAATTGAGGGGCATTACGAACACAAACGTATCAGCCTCCCCATTGTCTCCACTCAGAGCGAAGGCTTCGTCTACGCAAACATACCGCTTCAAGCCCACCTACCGGTCTGATCGGCACTTTTGCTCCACAGAGGAGCGACACCGCATACTCGACAAGCTCGCATACTCTGCTGATGCCAGACCGCGGAACACAAACACCTTGCTCAAACAAGATCTGCGCGTGCGATTATCGGCTTAGACGTCGGAGCTCTAATCTACTTGAAGTCCACCGGAGACTCAGCGGAAGCTTCGGAACGAGACAAACGTCACCAGGTCAGAGCCATGAAAAAAATCATGCATGGGATGCGGAATGTTTGGAAACTTTTCGAATGCTGTTCTGGATTTCCGGCCATTGCGCGAATAGCGTTACTTCCCGCATCGGACGAGCTGCTGAGATATGAGCCGTCAACGAACAGTGAATCGCACGGAATTGAAGGAAATTATTGGAAGAACAGGAACAAGTCTGAACTAACAAATGAGAAGGTCACGGTTTCATCGGGAAAACTCATCAAGCGAATGTCGGTCGCTGACGGCGTAGTTCTCTCATCTCGCCATGAAACCCTAACCTTGATGATATTTTCCAACGCGTGAAGCCAAAAGAGAAATGTGCGCTCGATTCAGAAAGCTGCTGTACGATCACTTCTCTTTCGTGCGCTTCGATTCATCAGACCAACATCGGGTGGCGACGTCTGTGACCCAGTATCTCGAAGATATTTTAAAAGATCCTTAACGTGCCGGAAAGCACCTGCTTATCGGCGAACAACCCGGCCGCGGTAGAAAATGGTTCCCGAGGACGATCTCGAGGGCCAATAATCGCATCGATCGGTCCTGGAGTCCTTCGGCATAAGGGCTGTTCGCGATCGTGCCCATTCCTGTTGAAGCAGAAGACATCCTCGACGAAATCCTGTTGTCCTGGAACGCACTCGAAATTGCCGAAGATATTCGTCTCCCGACCGCGACAATACAGGCTCATGACTTCTTGGAGCTCCGGAGGCATTCGGGGCGATTCTAAGGGGGAGTCGGGGAGTTATTTCTCCAGGAGGACACCAAAGCACCTCTACGGAAGACCCTCCATGATATGGAGCGATCGAGCCAGAGGAGTCGTGGTCCGCAACGAAAGTTCATTCTCATTGTTTCCATTTTATCTCTCCCCCTCTCTTATAGACAATATTATAAGGCGAGTGAGAATACCAGAAGACAGGAATTCGCTGGACACGCCCCCTCCCGTGTGGGAATGGTGATTAAGCGCCGAGACGAAGAGTTATATGAATCTCCGTACTACGCGCGCGAGCGCCAGACGCGCGTTCACGGGTCCGTCGTTCAGTCAGTCCAATGAATCTTCTCGCTCTCGGATTGCTCCAACACATGTGACGCCGAAAATATATAACGAAAAATCGACGTGATCTTCGTCGAAATTGATTCGAAAATTCCTCATCCGGGTCTTCCGCCCCCTTTCGTTCTGTTTTTCCTCCTTTTTTCGGCGGGAGACGCTGAACAGGTGTTCGAGTTCTTGCTTGCTCGGACGCAGCCGATAGACTAGTCAACCCTCAGACATATGTATGGGCCCGGGCTGACTGACTCGTATGCGCGCGGAATTTACGCCAGGCTACGCCCGCGTTTCGAACGCCCCCAACTCCCGAAGGCTCGGAGCAACAGTCGACGACGAACTCCAGAGAATCGGTTGTTCATCGGTGGCGAAAATGTGCTTTTTCCGGCAAAGACGTTTTTCTGCTTCATGCGATACGATTCCCTGATTCGCGATATTCCCCGACCATTGGCGACCATGATCGAGAAGTCGCCCTCATCGGGATGATCCCCCTCTGTTGCCGCTTCTGATAAGACATGTGTACGTAACCGTTATGAGAACCGCACGGTCATCATGAACGTGGACAGAGCTCTGCTTCTCCCGAAGTTTCGTTGAACCCGACCATTTCTATCCATTGGGCACTTCAGTTGTCGAGATCCATATTTTTCTTCAAGATGACTTCAAACATCA